TTAAAAAGTGCAAACAAAGCCCTGCTTGTTCTCAGATGGGCACACACAGCTGTGCTATAGAGATCCCTATGTTCTTGATCTCTTTTTGTGGGCAACACATCGTTTAATTCTCAAAGCCCCTTAAAAGCACAGTTCTTTCGTTGTGCTGTAAACAGGAGAAAACAGCTGGCTTCTTGATTCAGACAAGCAGGAAGAAGCTTAGAGTATGCCTCTTGCATCTGGATGAATGGGGTGCTGTGGTGGGAAAGTTACTGCCAAATTCATGTGTATCATGCATGTAAAAAGAGGTGGGGCATCTGTTGTTTACCAAGGCCTCAGTAGGTAATATTGGTAATTATAGTTATAAGCTCATTTGTAAAAATCAAATATGACATTTTTCATGGTGAAGGAGAGTTATGAAACTGCTGATTGTCAAGTAATTGAAGAGGCCTTTCCTGGAGGATTCATGGTTGAAATGCTAGAAAGCATGTTAATGTTGGGAATGGAGAATGGCAGTAAACAGCTAAGATGGGAATTTCACAACTGATTACATAAATATTCCTTATATATGAAGTTGAAGATGTGTCACATATAATTTAAACTGTGTAGTTCCTCTTCCCTTCCTGTGCTTTAAATACATGATTTAAATATACATTTTAAATAAAGCAACAGAACACTCCTATCTAAAAGATGCCTGGGTATTTAAAGAATCTTATTATTGGATGCCAATTAGTGCTTTCACAATATTGTGACACCCTTGGAAAGAGAGTGATGATTTATTACAGTATTTCCTCCATGTGAGAATCTGGTAAATAAATTGTCATCCTCAGCTCTCTGATCTGACAAGGAGGTCCTACCTAAGATATTTCAACACTAGTTGGTTCTCTGCTACGTAGGATAAGTTCCAAATCTGGATGATTTGGATAATAATGTGTGACTTTTACAAGCACTATAATATGCTAAGTAGCAGTTGTTTGACAGCTGCCATTTTTCCATCTGGCAATGGCAGTATATACATTATGCCTTTTTATTAGTTTACATGTAAGAAATTAATAATTACGCTGATTTTATATATATTCATATTCATATTCAGATGCTGTTAAAGAGCTCTGAAATGTACTGTCAGCCATAAATAGAATTCAGATTTTTTTAACGTCTGTTTTAATGTACGTAGTCTTACGACATGTCTTGTAACTTGCTGAACTAGTTTATCATTTTAGCATATAGTTTAGGCCCACCGGAACATTTTTAAATTCCTGGAATAGATTGTATTTAAGAGATGGAAGTGTTTCCAATAAATAGAATTGACCAGACGTTGTTTATGACTCATATGAACAGTTTGTCTAGTTAGATTTGTTTAACTTTAGCCAACACAATTTGAAACAATAATATATTTGTTTAATAATACAAATATACACATATATTTAGTCCATAACAAATAAAATAAAGAGTTTGGAAATAAATGTGAACATATGTTTGTATCTGTCCCTGAGGATTAACAGCGGGTGAAAGATAATTCAGTCAATTTCTATGGAGATGGGAGGGTGCCTGCAACTGACTCATGCAGTTTTTTTTATCAGATTAAAGATAATTAGAGAAAGAGTGAGAGCATAAGTCTGTATTAATATTAGGACTGAATCATACTTTCTTCTTAGCTGGCATCCAAGCAAGCACTGGGCATATGGGCATAGAATTCAAAGCCTCAATCTTGAATGAATAGAAATAGTATTATAAGCCATTCCTCCCTTCATAATTTTCTTTCCTGCAGTTGCTGTTTCCTTTAAAATGTTATAGCAAATAATTGCAGAGATGGAATATTTTTCAACTTGAAAATGTTGTGGGCAGTGTTGATGGGTGGAATTAATCTGAAGTCCCATGTAGCCATCCCCAGATTTGGACTGTTTTTGCCTACATCCCCAACAGAAAGCAGTCTTATAAGCATTGTTTTTCAAGGGTGTGCGTAATAAACATCGTACAGTATATATTTCAAGAAGCCATTTGGCTTTTAATCATTTAGAACAGAAATTCAGGAGGTGACTTGTTTTTATTCTTTCCAACCTAACAGTATGCTGGGAAAAATGATGTAATTGGGCTTAGTGCTCTGTGTCTGCTTGTCCCCCAGCAGAATAGGACGCAACAAAACTTTGACGGAAGGAGAGAAGCAGGCCAAAGAAAAGATCAAACTTAAAATGGGACCAGATGGAGCTAGGGCCAGTGAAGAAAAGAATTCTAGAAACAATCCCACAGTATGTTTCTATGGGAGAGGAAGTTGGGCAGTGACTCCAAATGTTGTTGACTGCTCCATTTGAAGCTGCTCTTCTTTTCCTTTCTGGTGACATGAATCAGAATGGAACTGCAATTAAGAGGTTGAAGCAACTTCCTACTTTGCTTGCTTTGTGTCCTGTAACATATTGAATCACAATACAGGTAGTCCCCAGTTTACGAACGAGTTCTGTTCCCAAGGTCTGTCTTTAAGTCAAATTTGTATATAAGCCGGAACGGTATTATTGTATAATACTGTCTAAGTAGTGTTGTGTAATTAACTTGAACCACTGTGTATTTAACTCGAGTTTTGCTACAGTAGGCTCCATTCTTAACTATGGGTCATCTGTAACTCAGGCATTCTTAACCCAGGGACTACCTGTACTTGTTTGCTCCTACAAAGTCATTCCTATTTAAGGATGGAATTCCAGAGATAAATGTCCCCACCTCCCCTTGTTGAGTAGGTGCTTCAAGAGGACAGCGTTATCACCATTCCAGACTGGAAATTTTACAGCATTGTAACTGAGATTTTGAACTAGCTTTGAGGCATGGCCAATTCACATCTCCTGCGAAACCATGTTGCTAATACTAGTGTTTGCTAAAGCTTTATTGCATACAGTTGAAGAACTTGACCAGCTTGTTTCTAAGCATAAAAAAAGAACTGGTACTTATTTTGTTATGGTTGATATGTGACTCTTTTGTAGGGTTCATATGAACTTAGGATTCTAAACTTGATTCAGGTTGATCGGTAGTCTGGTTAACACTGTTTGGACACTGTTGCAAGATACCTGGCAAACATCTCTAAGGGACACATAAGCCAGGAAGCCTGACATGATGGATAACTCTGAATGAAAGGTCCCTGGATCCTGTTCATTTCCTCCCAGTTAAAATGAGGGAATAAAAATAATTAGAAACTGATAGCTTAGCTTGAGGCTTAAAATTCACAATCCTGGTTTATTGCACCCAGTTTGTAAGCCATCAACACTTCATTGTGTTGCTTTACTTTGATGTTGAGCTATTTAGTATTTCTCTGTGTGAAAGAGAACTAGGTCAGTCATATTCTGACATTAAAAGGTGGAGAAGAAATATAAAACTTTGATAGTTTTTTAATAAATTGAGAACATTACAATTTTCAGGATACCATTGCCCTGTTAGTGCATTTGGGGAGCAGGGGGAATAGAAATAGTTCCTAAAGTGTAAAATAAATATAAATATTGTAGTAGCTCCTTCTGAAAATGGAATGGTAGAGTCCCTTGGTTTTTATGCAGAGTGTTTGTTTTTGTTTTAAGTGGCTCTTCTTGTACAGAGCACCTGAAAAATATATAACCATAACTCTCAGAAAATTGGCAGTGAGAATAGGGTGTGGTTAAACCTCATATCTTTAATGTGTGCTGCCAAAGGGCTGGGTATGACATGGGGAAAAATAAAAATAAGCCCTTGTTTGTTTGGGGGGACAGGAATTGATCTTATCTGTTTCATTGTGTAAATCCATAACATAAAACCCACTAAAATGTCTTTTAATGAAATCAAGTTAGAATGACAAGAGAAAAATATTATACTTGTACTGTACAGTAAAAACAAGCCACATTAATGCACCTTGTATATTACATAATTAGGCAAAGCTTAATTAGTGTGAACATGGGGAAATTATTCTGGCAGTCCACAAATTTTCATGCAGGATTTAACTAGGAAGAGATATGTTTGCTTAGTTGTGGTTTGGCACAAAGTTGGTTTAGACCAGCAGCTGCAGGTAAGATTTAGGATGTCCAGGTAGTCCTCCCTTAACAATAGGGACCAGAAAATGTGTTGTTAAGCGGGGTGGTTGTTAAGCGAGTTGCACCTGATTTTATGACCTTTTTGCAGTGGTCATTGCACGGTGAATCACTGCGGCTGTTAAGTGAATCACGTGGTTCCCCATTGATTTTGCTTGCCAAAAGCCAGCTAGGAAGGTCACAAATGGCGATCACATGACCCTGGGACACTGCAACTATTATAAATGCGAGTTGCTTGCCAAGCGCCCGGATTGCAATCACATGACCACGGGGTTGCTGCGATGGTTGTAAGTGCAAAGACCAGTTGTAAGTCCCTTTATTCAGCACCATTGTAACTTTGAATGGTCACTAAAGGAATGGTTGTTAAGTAAGGACTATCTGTAATGAACTCTATAAGCTTGCTTCCAGAGGGCAAAGAGGCTGCATGTCTCTCTTTAAACATTGTCATATCTCAAGGGAAGTATAAAAGGCTGGAAAAATGCATGGATAGGGAGGAGAATCACCCCTGGTCCTCCCTGCAGTGCTCTGTGCTCTTCCCCTTTGAGGTTCTTTTCTTTGATGTTGATTCCCTCTCAGTGTGTGGGGGCAAAAGGAAAATAATCAGACAAGGAAAGGCACATTTTCCTTCTTATCAGCATATTGAGTGACTCAGGGGCAGAGACTCATGAGACTGTTGCCATTATATTTTATTACCGCTTAAATTTAATAAGACTGAAACTTCTCCTGTAAAGCCGGAACAGAATTTGGGGGTGTGCTATCAATGTCAGTGGTGATTCTGGCTTTAAGTACAGGGAAGAGATTGGACTAATGTGTTCACTGAAAAAGCTCCCCTTGTTTTCTGCCACCTTTAACAATAGCTTAATGCTGACTCAGTGTTCTGAGCAATGTGTCATAAGCTGGATATCCATGTATGGTCTCATAAATAGTTTGTGTTTTGTGTTTCCTGACTGCTAAGTGAATCTCTGCTGTAGATTCATCTGCGTGCACATGGCAGGTGCACACAAGTAAATAAATGCATACAGAATGTCTATACAAATCTTTCAGCAGCTTACAACTTTGTCTATGTATATAACCAAATCACCAAGTAGTTACAGGCTGACATACTGACATAGTATGTCAGGTGTTGAAAGAGAGTCTTCATGGTGAGCAAGCCTTTAAATTCTATTAAATTGATGTCAGTGGATAAATTTATGATTTTCCCTTTGCATCATGCATAACTGATGCTCGGTGGTTTTTAGTGTTTTGTAGCTTGTTGCAGTGAAGTCAAGTGGGCCTTAGGAAGCATTGCTAACAACAAAGCTAGTGGAGATGACAGTATTCCAGCTGAGTTATTTAAAATACTAAAAGATGATGGTGTTAAAGTGCTGCACTCAATATGCCAGCAAGTTTGGAAAACGCAACAGTGGCCACGGGATTGGAAAAGGTCAGTTTATGTTCCAATTCCAAAGAAGGGCAACGCCAAAGAATCAACAGTTAGGACCGGTCATGGAACAACCGATTGGTTCAAAATAGGGAAAGGAAGGACAGGAAGGCCTGGCGCAATATGGTTCATGGGGTCACGAAGAGTCGGACACGACTTAACGACTAAACAACAACAGTTAGGACCGGTCATGGAACAACCGATTGGTTCAAAATAGGGAAAGGAAGGACAGGAAGGCCTGGCGCAATATGGTTCATGGGGTCACGAAGAGTCGGACACGACTTAACGACTAAACAACAACAGTTAGGACCGGTCATGGAACAACCGATTGGTTCAAAATAGGGAAAGGAAGGACAGGAAGGCCTGGCGCAATATGGTTCATGGGGTCACGAAGAGTCGGACACGACTTAACGACTAAACAACAACAGTTAGGACCGGTCATGGAACAACCGATTGGTTCAAAATAGGGAAAGGAAGGACAGGAAGGCCTGGCGCAATATGGTTCATGGGGTCACGAAGAGTCGGACACGACTTAACGACTAAACAACAACAGTTAGGACCGGTCATGGAACAACCGATTGGTTCAAAATAGGGAAAGGAAGGACAGGAAGGCCTGGCGCAATATGGTTCATGGGGTCACGAAGAGTCGGACACGACTTAACGACTAAACAACAACAACAAAAAGCTTGTTGCATATTTCATGTATGTAAATATATATTCTGAAACAAGTTCTGGGAATAGCTATGCATTTTATTTCTAGTAACTTCTCACTGAGGATTTATTTTTAGTTGGCAGTTCTGAAAATTATATTGTGAAGTCCTTGGTGCTCTCTGAGCTTGGTTGTTTGCTTGCAGACATTTCCTTACCCAACTAGGTAACTGGTGATGTTACCTAGTCAGGTAACGAAACGTCTGTAAGCAAACAACCAAGCTCAGAGAGCACCAAGGACTCACAGTTCAACCTTGAGCTACATATATTCTCCTCTATTGAAAATTATATTCTCCCATCTTCTCTCTCTGAATAATCCTTGCCAGTCTGAATATTATCTCCTTGTAAGTTTGCTGCTTGGAAAAGCATATGAGTTTCTTACTGGTGAGTTGAATAACTCATCAGTAAACTTCCTCACCTACATCTTAAAGCTTGGGACTCTTCTTTAAAAACACTCAACTGCAAATAAGGTTTGTTTCTGTCCTAAAAGAAACAGAAAGAAATAATTTCTACTGCATTTTTTTTTTTTTTTTGGTCACTTGCTGGCTTTTCTGTATCTGTTCTGAATGTAGCTGATTATGTTTCTAAATGGAAGTTTGTTGAGATTGTATTTAGGTTGGAGTTTTCAAGTGGGGAGTTATACCCCTGAACCACAAAGGTTAGTCTGTGCAAAGCACTCATAAGGAGTGTTGTATGAAGTAGTCATGTCCTTTGGAATTTTGCACACAAAAGCTGTCCCTGGTTGTCTGTATGTGCATATGTGTGCGTGGCAAAGAGAACAGTTCTGCTGGGACTACCAGCATGAAGAGGGTATACACGCCTGCTCAGTCAGCCCAGGACAGCCTTTGAATCAGCTGTAAAGAACATGGCTGATTTAACACTTCAAGGAGGAGAGTTTCCCACATGCTAACATGTTTTGCAAAATATCATTTTCTTCTAATGAAGACCACAGCAAAGTTGCCTCAAGATCTCATTGATAAGGTAGAACATACAGCATGGCCTTTTAACCAGTTCTCAAAAGACATGTGGCTATGAGTTCAACCTAGTCTAATTATTTTAGATGGTAACTAGCAAGACAAGACCCAACATCTGAGGTTTTATATGTGGCCAAGTTTTTTCATTAAATGGAAGTCTTAATACCATGAAACTGCACTGAACATCCAAATAATTATTGTCATGAGGTGTTAGTAGTAATTTTTAACCAAGGACTTTCTACCTGTGTCTTGGAATTTTTAAGAGTATATATGGAAGATTATAGAATTGAAAACAATCTGGGATGGTTTTGATCTGTGATTTTCTGTAACATTTGTCCTATTCTTATTGCTTTTTAAAATTAAAGTCTATCTTTTACAGAACAAAACTGAACTATAATCCTCCCAAGGATGATGGATCTATGTATAAAATTGAACTTGAAGGGATATCTGTTGACACCATGAAAGAGATTCTGGACTACATCTTCAGTGGCCAGGTGTGTGTTACTAATATTAATCCTCCATATATCTTCAGGAATATTCTGTGTGTGTATGTGTACCCAGTCACAATTCTGTCCATGTCTGCTCAAAAGTAAGCTAGAATTGTAACCTAAATCTCCTAGAAAAATATGTTTATAAAGTAGAAGTATTCCACAGTGGATCCTGGCCAGTTTCCATGGATCTCCAAATGGATCACTGGCAACTTTGTAAAAAAAATGCTGGGTAAGATAGACTTTGGTCAAATTTTTCAAGTGCTCCTTATATTCTTAAGCATCAGTATGTTCATTTAAAGAGGATTATGCTTTATGTGTTGAATTCTGATTATGCTCTCTCATCCATTAAGAAAATGCAGCTGGATGAGATTGGAAGTCAAAGTGTAGCATCTCACTTCTGCAATAGCCAGCCAGACACTTTGGTGAAAGCTGCAAAATGTATGGGAATACAAACATCTCCTATATGTTCGATGAATTATGACAAGTTTGTCATGGCTAATGTCTGAAAATAGGCATATTTTTCATGGACTGTTTTTGGTCCACTCTTAAGCCACCTAAACCAGATGCAATTGCAGCATTTTGTAGCAACAGATTCTGTGAGATGAGAACTATACACAATGCAGGATTGACATCAACTCTCCTCTGACTCCAGGAAACATTTAGTATTATTGATGATCAACATGTGGAATGTATATTACATGATATAGCCAGTAAAAATGTGGGCCTAGTGGAGAAGAGGAAAGCCTATGGGCATTGCTATGGCAGGCTTACATATACTCTTGTGTTTGTCTAGCACTCTACTCTTGCATGCTTACTAGTCTAAAAGTAAACCAGGAGAAAGAAGTTGTGTGCTAATGTGGGAAGAGGGAATAGCTATCTGGAGTTTGACTCAGGCAACCTTCATCACTGGTTGTAATTTTCTGTCCTGCAATACAACTTTTGCAGATCAGACTAAGTGAAGACACCATCCAGGACGTGGTACAAGCTGCTGACTTGTTGCTGCTTACAGACCTAAAAACTCTCTGTTGTGAGTTCCTGGAGGGTTGCATTGCTGCTGAAAACTGTATTGGAATTCGGGACTTTGCACTACACTACTGTCTGCTCCACGTTCACTACCTTGCCTCGGAATATCTTGAAACGCACTTCCGGGATGTCAGCAGTACAGAAGAATTCCTGGAACTAAGTCCTCAAAAACTAAAAGAAGTGCTGTCTTTGGAGAAGTTAAATGTTGGGAATGAGAGACATGTTTTTGAAGCAGTCATTCGTTGGATCTCCCACGATCCTGAATTAAGAAAGGTACAGAATTTAAAGTTACCTAAGAGGGCTGCATAAACACATTTGCTCATGTTGGTTTACTTGGACGCTTCTAATTGTATGAAGCTTGGCTTACTGCTTTTGAACACGGTTATTACCAGTGTAATGTCTGCACTGCTTTGAATCTCCTTGCCCCTGCAGTTCATGTGTTATTCTGTGTTTTAATTAATTGCGTAATTCTGCCAAACCCCTCAGCCTTGACTCAATCACTGAAAAATGTATTCAGCAATCCTCTGGCTTCCAAGATATCAGCAGGCATTATTCACTCACTTTCAAACTTATTTTCTTAACTATACAAATCAAGAAAATTTGTTTATCAAAACATTGAAGAGTAGGAATAAGAGAAAGCTGAATTTTGCCCTAAGTTCATATCCTATATTTTAGCAGAATCAGAGCATTTATGCAACTGTGTATATTATTCAGCTGATACATATGCTGTGATATTTCTCTTCTTGTTGTTGCTTTTTTCTTTAGGCACCTCCCCATGCCTTCATTTATTACAAGAGTAGTGGTTGGAACCATTTGTTGTCTAAGTTAGATAAGATCCCTACTTCTCCCTAGAATTGCTGAAACTTGGTGTAGGATTTCCTGCCATTTTGAGGCAAGAAACACACCTCTTTGTGCTCTGAGATGGTTCTGCCCAGTGCATTGTTCTCCTGCAAACATAGTCCTTACCCTCCCAAACAACGTTAAGTGCTGCCCCTGGCAGAAGTTGCCTCTTCCTGTGAAAGTCTATCAGCAGTAATGTTAAACACTAATTTATTTATCTGTAAAGTTCATGAGGTTAGGATCATTTTGTGATTTAAAGTATCTTTGTGGCTCTCCAGGTTCATATGAAGGATGCTATGTCAGCTGTGTGGGTAACTGGATTGGACTCTACCTACTTGCGTGAACAAATGATGAACGAGCCATTAGTTCGGGAGATTGTCAAAGAATGTAGCAACATTCCACTCACCCCTCCCCAGCAAGGAGAGGCAATGCTTGCTTCTTTTAAACCCAGAGGATACTCAGAGTGCATTGTGACAGTTGGGGGCGAAGAAAGAGTGTAAGTAATTCAGGAAAGCAGCTGTGGATCTCATTTGGTAGGGAAGGAGTCAAAGAGAAAGAAGACAGCACTTTGAAGAAAGGTCAATACTCCATTGATGATAAGTTTGAGACTGCAGTAGTGGAGAATGTATGGATCTTAGAGTTGAATGTTTGTGTTCCTGATGATCTGAGCTTGCTTTTCCTGCAGATGTTTCATTATCAGTCTAGGCCCATCATCAGGTGCACTAATGATGTCACCTGGCCTGGTAATGAAACATCTCCAAGAAGAAAAGCAAGGTTGGAAAAGACCAAGAACGCAAAACGTTTGAGACTATGGGTTGCTTTGAGACAGTTATCATTCAACCCAGTGGTTGTCTGCCTTCAAGCCAAGGTCTGGAATCTCCATGTAGCAACTGGGAGAGTCTCTTGGCGCCTGCCGGTCTCGCTGCCCCATCTCACTTTTTATATTGAAATAATGTTTAAAAATGGCACATTGTGGCCCAAGTGTCATATTTTATTTCCAGGAAAGCGTTTGGGTCTAAAGTTGGCCCCATAAACTTTTGTAGAAACTAAAAAGAATGGTTACTTGCAGCCCAGATTGATTCCTTACTGGGTTATACTTGGTGATCAAAAT